GTAGATAAAGTATGGGCAAGACATGATAGTTAAAAATATATTGTTGATGGTTTGTTCTTACCTGTTAAAGCGCTGAGCTCTGTGTGTTACGGTGAGATCACCTCTTGTTTACAACCGTGCGCGTTCACGGCTCTGGGCCCTGCTGTGGGGGAGGAGCCTAGGAAGGGGAGCTGAGAGCAGGGGGAGGGACTACAAGGTTGTTTCTGTTCAAAATTTTCTAAGTTTTTGGGTACCCAAGAAACTACATACAGCAGCTTTAAGTCTAACTATAGGATTWATCAAAAAGGAAAGTCTTCAGTCTAATCTTAAAAGTAGAGTGTCAGCCTCATGGACAGAAACTGGAAGTTGTTCCACAAGAGAGGAGCTTGATAACTGAAAGCTCTGCCTCCCATTCTACTTTTAGAAACTCCAGGAACCACAAGTAAACCTGCAGTCACATTCACACTTGCCTTTGTCAAACAAACTAAACCCTGTGACAACCTGTCAGGGTCGCGTGGGTCACTGGTGCCCATATCCAGCAGTCACAGTGCGAGGGGCAGGGTACACCCTGGACAGGTTGCAAGTCCATATCATTTAGAAGCAAAAGCTTTTTCTGCAAAGTAGTGTGACTTTATAAAGGATATTTTTAGGCTGAAAATAAACAACTCTGGGTTTAGATTTAAATACCTTTAATGTCACAATTGGATTTGTGTCCACTAATAAATACAAATAACTGTTTTTGTTAGAGAAAAAGAAAACCTATTGTTTCACTTCTCCTCCTGACCTCTGACCTTTTATCTCCTTTACTCCAGGCCGGTGAACGAGGAGCGGTTGCGGCCGATCACCCAGTTGGACCTCCTCTTCGGCCTGGACAAGATGAAGGAATCGAAGCAGGCCACAGCCTCCATGTTACCCAGCGTAGCAGAGGTTCCTCTGGACTGAAGGCCGTGTGTGCTCCACAGACAGGAAACACTTTCTTCACCCTCCTGTTCACCACATGGCTAGCAGAGACTCACAAATTAAGAGGTGCTGTTGAGAAAATAAAAAAAGCCAACATACACCTAAACTGTTTTACTTCTGAGCATGCTTATTTACAGCACAGCTTCTTGCCATGTGTACAGATAGATCATTTTATAATCTGACCTCTGCCCGAGGACTGTCTGTACTGTTTGTCTGGAGGAGGACAAACCAATGATCAAAAACATTCTGTTTGCTGTAAAAATACTAACTACGGTAAGGTTTTGTCTGCAACACAACAGCTGACAAACTACAGTTAACCTTTGGGTTTTCAGACTTTCTCTAACATATCAAGTAAGTAACTTTTGAATTTCATATTGGAAAATGAGCTTTCACCATTTCATAATTCTTTCTTTTCTTTCCCCAAACTTTATCCAGGGTTAATCAATTGTTTGGTATTTAGTTTGATTGGTTACATTGCTTTTTTAAAAGTAGAATAAAGTCAATATTTATCTAATCTTTTCTTGTCAACCTGCACACAGTACTCAAAACTTTGTATTGCTGCTCCTAAGGAACATTAATTCTTAATGTTTTTTAAACTGGTATCGAATAAAAGATAATATATGTTGCTATTTGACATCAGGTAATGATACATAAATTTGTTTGTTTCATCCAGGAGTAAAATGAAACCTTTAATAATATTATAAGGTTGTTGTTGTAGGACGAAAACACAATAGTCTTTGGGTGTAGGGATTGTGTTGCAGTGCAGCCTGTGTTCTGTTCATTTTAAGAAGAAAGAGGGTTTTTACTTGAAGACTTGAGGAGAAATATTGATTTGAGTCATGAGAAACAGTTAAATGGAAATTCTTTGCTTATGTCTTATATATTTGGCTCATTATCAAAATGTTTCTTTTGTTTTACTTTTTATGAGACTTAAGTTTTTCTGTGTATCAGTTTGAAGAAATGGCAGCTGCTGATCTCACCTATCACATCATCTAATTTTAATGTCTCTTTCAGGAAAGCATTGCTTTTAAATCCAGGTGCTTTGTAATCAGGTGACAGTCATACGTTGACATTCTTCATGTTAATCAGTCTCTTTGTAAAATAAGCCTCATTGTTTTCCATACGCTTGGCGTTTGAGCAAAGGGATCCTAAGTGGAAGTCGTCCAGATATTTACCTCAGCTGAGACGTGCATGATTCACCCATGTGGTGGCGCTGTAGCTTCAACGATGAGGCAGTTGTTACAGGTTGCTTTTACTTAAAGCCTTTTTATTGCATTATTGTAAAAGATGAGAACATCCATACTGTTTTTTTCTTTCTTCTTCTTTTTCTTCCTTATTGGTTTATCTGGTGATGTTTAAGCCTCTGTTACTCTTCATCAGAGTACTTCAGGTGACAGGTAAAGGTCAGAACATTTCAACATAAACTAGTGCTGCGTTTCAGCTTATCTTTCTTGGAAAATGGTAACATCTTTTTCTCTCTTTGTGCAGCTTATTCTGCTATGGACCATGCCCTTTGTTTTGCAGTTAAGTGTTATTATAAAAAATGTGTTTGTATTGAATGTGTAGAAATAAAGATGTACTGTAAAACTCTATTTATTAAACTACATAAAAAAGTGCATCTCTTTGCAATTAGTTGTATTTTTCTTTGCAATTAGCTCTATATTTGATTGTAGGAAGAAGTAGCCTGAATAGGAACGCTACAACTTATGGACTCAACCCTGTTCAAGATGGCTGCCACGGCTAAATGACCCACAAAAATGTCTATAACTATCTGTTTTACAGACGTTGACCTGAAATTTGGTGCTGTAGCAGCTGACAGTTATCCCCAACTCATATTGTGTGCTCCAACAAAGATTTTGCCCTTATTTCCTCATTAACTATTTTAGTCAATTTTTGTTTATTAGCAAAATATTACATGAACCACTGTATGGTGATTGTATGAATCACTGCAACTGATGTATCATTCTGAATGAACCCAATTCAAGATGGTCGCCACAGCCCTGCAGGACAAAATCTGATCTAATTCAGCCAGTTTTACAGATACTGAGCTAAAATTTGGTGTGTTTGTTGCTGAGTCTGTCACAGCACATTGAACCCACATAACAGGTGTGGACCAGATCTGGTGTCAAGCTGTTTGACTGCTGGCATGGCAAGTGGTTTGTCAACTGGATGTGACCACATCTGGGCCACCATTACACCATCTGTACCGAGTGTTAGAGTGTTTAGTGCACTGTGTGGGTCAGAACCGGACCAGACAAATTTTGCTATGTGGGAATACTCCCAACAGCTACTCCAATGCATAGCGACCTTTGCCTAAAACTTGAGCAACCTCTGTTTGTCAAATGATAATAAAACTTTGGTGGGTGATATGCATTCTTTCAGGGGCTGCTAAATAACTATTTTAATCCATCTGGTTAACCATGTGTTCCAATTAAAGCAGACCCATTGTTACTGCTATGTCTGAAATTCTTTAACAAATTACCATATTTTACTGAAAACTAACAATGTTGTCAGATGTATCTGTGTGGTTTGTCTCTTTCCCAGATTATTAGCAGCTAACCCTTAAACATCAATGCCCATGGTACATTCCCAGTTTGTGCTTACTTCCTCCCTCTTTTTTTTATTTTATTGGAATGTTTCTCTGGGTTAGGTTTGTGCAGGTCACACGTTACCAGAAAATTTTTGTTAATTGCACGTTTTATGATATTTACATGTTAGTTTTATAGAAATGAGTACTTATCTCATCAGTGTTCTTTATTTTATCTTTTAAACATCCCAACATTTGAAGGTTTATAGCTGAAGGGTGGCTGGTGATTTCCTTTTTGTTTTACATCTATAAACAGGTAAATGTATCCAAGTTTTTCTAAAACATGGAATGCCTTATTTATTTTTGCCAGAGTCCATTGGTTTACTATTTCATTATGATTTGACACTTTTGATAGCATAAAAAACACCAGCTATAATCGTATTATGTGAGTGAAATAAAAAAAACTTTTTCCAACATTTTTTAATCTTAGAACACTGTAAAAGAAAAGTTAAGGAAGAGAAAAATGTTTGTTACTCAGAGGTTTTATCTGTTTCATTGATAATAAATGTTTGTTCCACAAAACAAAGTTGTTTAACTTGARTTTACTTAACTACACTGTGTGGAAATTGTTGACATATGTATGTTTAGTAAGTGGACTTAAGAGTTATAGGTTTATACCAATTAAAACGAGTTAAGTATAACAGAAATCCAGTAATTGCCAGACTAAATTAAGTCAGTTAAGTWGAAGCTGCAAAGTATTGTTTAGTTGGTTTTACTAAATACAGTTAAGTTACAATTATCTAAATAAGTTAAGTTGGTGTAATGAATCATTTTTATCTTGGCATTAATTAACCCTATTGAGCATTSTTAAGTTCAGTTTAATTGGGTGAACACAGACCTATTAAGTAAATTCTAGCTGACCAGATAGGGTTGGAWTTACTTTATTTTGTTATGTTGGTTACACAAAAGTCATTTATTTGCATCTTAATAATCATTTAGAATTTTATAGAACACAACTCAGTTTAGTGGAAATTGTTGACATAACTATTAAGTAAATTGAAGAAGTTACTTTTTTGAGTGACGAGGGACTTTGAATTTGCATAATGTTCAAACACTTTGATTGGTTGTCTTCTTTTGATTGACACCTCTTTTGATCAACTGGGTCAAGAGCAACACTTAAATTAATTTGGGTTAGGGTTAGGCCCACAGGTTAACAGGTTAAATATAATTAATTGTTTAAAAAAAAGATTAAAGGAACATAAAAAGAATCCACTGCAAGAAACTCAGGTAACTCCAGAAAGAAGTGACAACTTTCCCCCCAACCCATATGGTTTTATCTTGTTTTAAATAAATTAAGTTTGGGTTTTGTTGAAAAATATTAAATGAACTTTAGATAGCAATATTGTGAAATATCACATTGACAATTTTTATTAACATTGAATTAATTTTCCTTTGTGAGAATCATCAGTTTGACCAAATACATGATTGGCATAAACATTTATCTTGGAATATAATAAATTAAGACCGGTGTGGTTTTAAAATGGCAATACATTTTTATGTATTTAGCATGATTTAAGTTTTTTTTCTGAATCTGTGGAAGCAGACTTCTTTTAGAAATCTGAATCATTGTAAAATCTAAAACTACTGCAGTTCTGCACCCTCAAGGGACGTATCAGTGGCTTTTCGTTGGCCCTAATCAGCTCCTACTTTTCCATTCAGCTGGTGTTTTTGCTGCAGCGTTGTGGCTGCTTTCTAACAAAACGAAAACTTGCACGACTAATAATGCCACATCTCAAAACTTGCTAACAGCCAAAACATTTTAAATGGGGGGTTTTAATGAATGTCTGGCCAAGTTTTCAAAATACTTAAAAATACCCACGCATCAGAATAAAGTAGAAGCAATAAAAGTGCTTTAAATAATTCAGTGTTTCCAAATGGAAGTAACAATTATTAGAATAAAAGTAAACATTTATTCATCATTTTCAGTTATTTCTGGCAGATGTCTACGATGAGGTCACAGTGAATCAGCCTCTAATGGGCCGACTGCTCAAGCTTTAATCAAACAGGATTTGATAAAAGCTTGAAGGAGGTAACTACAATTCAAGAGCTTCATAATTACTTACCCACACAAACAGCAGGGGTTTTATGAATGACTCTTGGCTGGTTTACAGCCTCATAATTCACCACCAGTCCTGATTTCCACCCTCTGCTGAAAGGCAAAGGTGAACAATTCTGTATATGACTCAGTCGAATTTACAAATGTACCAAAATTTAGTGAAGTTGGAGCAGAGGGTCTTTCAAAACACATCTGAGCACGACAGCGTACAATGTTACATTATTTTCAAGGCTTGGCAAAAAAACTGCTATAACCAGGCCATTTGTCAACATAAAATGAGCTCAGTCTGAAACCTGAAAGGTGCAGCAGTGTTTCAAGGCATGCAGACTCTTTACTTGGTTCTGTATTCACAGCTCAAGGCTAACATATGTTGTTGAGGTTAAATAGTTTTGACTCATAATACAGGAATTGCTTTAAAACTTGTTTCCTTCAAAATGTACTTGTGTCATGTTAAAGGGTATTTCAACCTGGAAAGACTCACACGAGACAGACCGGAATTAGGTTTATCGACATGACTGGACCAACATGGTTGACATAAATGGCATCAGAGTTTGGTGCTCGGACCCCAGCAGAGGACGAGAGCGCTGAGTGAAGCTGAAATCTCATATGAGATGCTTTAAGTTAGGGGCAGGAGATTTGACCCCCCCTGAGTCCCAACACTGGTGGTGGACGTCATGAAAAAGAAAAAGAAAACACAATTTTAAAAAGAGGAAGCCAGCAGTTTGTGATGAATCACTTCATAACAGACTCCCATTCTGAGTGACGGTGGAGAGGAAATATTCCCTGATAACAGGAAGAAACCTTCGGTAGAACCAGGCTCAGGGCGGGCAGCCGTCAGCCTCGACTGTCTGGGCTGGAGGACTGGAAAGAGACATAGAAAACTGGACCAGGTGCACTCTCTTCAGAAGATGAAGGGTGGAGGAGGCGTGGTGGTAGGTTGACGGTCAGCTGGCATGCAGACGGGGCGATTGAGACGACTGGCTTTATGCACTGGCAGACAGGAGCTGATTGGATGTGGCTGGGATTGTGATGATTGGATGCAGCTGAGCTTGAGGTCAGCAGGAGCAGGTGAGGCCATCAGTCTTCCAGGAGTTGAATTTTCATTTAAACTCCTTTTCATAAAACAGATTTATTCTTTGATTTCTGTTTGTGTGTGTGTGTGTATGTGTGTGTGTGTGTGTGTGTGTGTGTGTGTGTGTGTGTG